GTTTAGTTGCCATAGTAAAATGTTTACATATGATTGTCAACTCGACGAGTTTTCTGTGCAAGATACTGCAGCAGGAGCACAGGCGGCCCAAGCTCCAGCTGTGAGATGATTATCTTGCGCAATAACAGTCATGGCGGAGTTATAAGAGTTTGTATGGGAATATTTACGACCGTTTTAAGGAATAAAAAAATACGTCAAATCCTCAATAAAAATACCGCACCTTACTTCCACAGTGTATCGCTTGTTATCTGACCGCTTACTTTGATGAAAAGAGCCCATTTTAGCGAGTTGTTTATTTCGAGGTTTTCAACGTACATAAGAAAAGCCCTGGGCTTAAAGCGGTCGTAAATATTCCCATACAAACGCTTATAATTCCGCTATGACTGTTATTGCGCAAGATGATCATCTCACAGCTGGAGCTTGGGCCGCCTGTGGCTCATGGTAACCAGGCATAGCTTTCGTGAATGTGTTTCCCACGATCTTCTGAACTAAAATTCTTTGTTTGCGCTCTTAACTGACAAAAAGGCATTCTGATTCTTCCCAATGGGCGCTGTCATGCAAATCGTTCCTTCCACTGGATCGATTAGGCCGGAAAATCCGTCGAATATTAGGCTGGATAATCCCTCGAAAAGTTAAAGGTTCAGTAATCCCTCCAAAGGGCTGAATAATCCCTCGAAAGGGCTTGATAATCCCTCGAAAGGGCTTGACAATCTCTCGAAAGTGATGAATAATCCCTCGAAAGGGCTCAATTATCCCCATTTTAAGGGGATTGTTTGCTAACTGATCGTGGATCATCGAAGTCACAGGCGTCTCCAAAAGTGCATTCCCATTGTTCGCTGCCTACAGAGCCGATAAAGTCGTGACTTCTCCGCCATTTAAGATCGTCAAATGATATAGATGGCTCGATTGGAGACACTTTACCAACAGTGCACCCGGTAAAGATGGATACTTGCCAAAAAAACTCGACGTCACTCCATTCAACGAAGACAGGGCGCCGCATTCATATGCTAATCTACACGTCGATTTCGCCGTAATATTTCGGGCATAAACTCTTTGAAGGGATTGACAACAGCTAACAAATACTTCGCAAAAACACATCCAGTTAAAGCTATGCCTGCTTGAGTAACGTACGTCGTAGAAAATCACCTTACAAAATGCTCTACTCACCCAAACGAAGTCAGCTAATCCTCGATCCAAAGACAACTCATCCTCGATCAAAAGACAACTCTCAACCTTACGAACGTTGACAGGTTTCAAGAACCGGAAGGCTACCGACAAATCAATCGTACCTGTTATCGTCTCGATCAAAAGAGATCTGCGCATGCTCGGCATTAATTAACTCCGAAAATTCTTTTTTCACTCGTTTTTGGTTAACGGACAGACACGATGGCAAGGAATCTACGCGCCTGCGGCCGTAGATTCAAAAAAAGAAAAGCATGAATTACACCTAAATTGTGTGACCTTATCCCTCTACAGTCTAGCATCAGTATGCATATTCTCCGTACTGTTCTCTATACATTCCGTAAGGTGCTGACAAGGAGAATATGTTTAACAAACAAGAGATTCTTCAATTGGTGTTCATTTTATTCATTCTAATGACCTTAACCATTCAACTCCCAAGATCTGATTGTTAATTCTCCCCTCTAGCTGCTACACATTTCCTAGTATATTAGTTGCAAGAATTTGATGTTAGATCAAGATAAAAACTTAACCCTGATAAGTTTGAGTATTCTCATCATTGCTTTACTTGATAATGTATGGATATTAAAGGGAGAAGTTATATTTCAATACTTCTGGGAGTTAACGGGTCAATGTGTGACTCAGGGGTGATATCATATGGAGAAAGTAAATCCTGGTCACTCTTAGGGTTGTAATTAAAAATATTTTTGCATACTTATTCTTTCCACTGTGTTCTTCAGAGGTGTTTGCTTGTCTCCTCCAATAAATCCACAACAATTTGGTGCTTCACAATGGCAAATCTGAGCAACTTTCCTGATTAATGACAAAAATTATACCTATGAATTTTTTGTAAGCTTCTCCTTCCCAGTTCAAAGGGATCTTCTTTCTGTGTGACTGCTGTACAGTTCCTCAAATTTTAAAAACTCTCAGTTTAGTGTCACTCACAAACATGAAGCTTTGACAGTAGAATGTACATTGTCCACCTACCCAAAACACTGCAGTTTATAATCGAACGTGAGCTCTGCACCAGCTGGGATGGGTCGCTGAGTAAAAAATCCAATCCTCAACAAGCAATGGACAGTCCACTGCAAGAAGCAAAAGAACAAAACCCATTCAGTTCTTATCTTAACCCTTTACACCAGAACATCAGTACTCTATACAACTCCTAAGGAGCTGACAAGGAGCATTTGTTAAGCAATCAAGAGCTTCTTAAGTTACTGATCATTTCCTTAATTCTCATGACCTACAGGTTTGATTCAGGGGTAATATTATGAGGAGAAATTGGATGCTAGTCATTCTTGAGGGTTAAAGGATTTAAGTACAGCTGTAGATGTGTTTTCTTTCAGTTTCCTGTCAATCAATCTACTGTCGATTACTTCTGGAAAAAGAAGTGAAAAGCCAGCATTATTGATCATAATATAAACTGGTAAAATGGACTGAACAATTTATTAAACTACCTTTTGAGTTTCACAATTTGAGTCACAGCTGTGGTTGATAAATCAAGACAAGTTTCCCTCCTAGGTGGCATCAATTAGCTGAACAAAGAAGGAATTTTAAAGAAGCTATAACTCATTAAGTAACAAAACCATGAACTATAATGATTTGTCCACCTACATGTACTGTATTACGTATAATACTTAAAAAGATGGGCGCTTATTGTGTAGTGTCGTCATTCAGACATAGAGAGACTATTCCTTCTTCATTGCCAAAGGCTAACTGAACTTTATTGATAAATACGTTACACATATACAAGTATAAGAGTTTACTGACTAATAGTAATTTTACAGCATGCAGGTATTTCCCGTACAGTAGGATTACTGCATGTTTTCACGGCAAGGGGCCGCGAGTAGCTTGGAGTGATTGAAAATGCGGTCTAGAGCTTATAAGCCAGGACAGGACGCAGTTAAGCTGTGTTCGCTCAATATTTGTTTTCCTTAAGGCCCGTTTACGCAGGCAGGCCTTAAGGACTGATCGCAGAAGTCTAAATTGTATTCTGCTGAAAATTTCTTCTCGCGTTGTCAATGTTCAACCACTGGCGCGATGAGTATAAGAGAGTATGCAAGCCAAGAAAACAAAAAGGTGTTATTTTCGCACCTTTTTACGTTTGACTGATTTCACTTTTTCCGCTTGAAGTGCGCAGTCCGTTAAATTTTTTTTGTGATGTTTTCTGATGTTTAGCGAGCAAGCGGCGATGAGTAGCTGCAAGCGATAAAAATGGGCGGCTGGTAGGCATCATCTCAGTTTTATAGCTTTATACGCTATGCTTCTTTAAAAAATGACTTAAATTTAAGTTTAAATTTACTTCGTGCATGGCTTAATAATTATTTAACTAATTGCGCCTGTATCGACGAAAACGATATACGAAAACAGAACTGTTGTCGATTGGCAAGAGGACAAGTTTGTCTTTTGCACCTTTCCACGTTTAAATGATTATTGTTCCACTGCTAAAAAAAACCAATTAAAATAAGATAAGAAAAAAAATTAAGACATATTGCAATGAAGACACCGCTCGATGTCGAGAGTGTGTAGAAAGGCGGGTTGGTTTTGGTTTTCTTAGACTATTGTCAGGCTCGCGTTTTTGTTTTTTGGTCTATTGAAGCAAATAAACCTCGCTGTTGAAGGCAAAACAATAGGTGCGATTTTCGCACCTTTTTCCGTTTCAGTGACTTTATTCTCCGGTTGGCCACAAGTTCTTAAACAAAAAATGTTCATCACTGCATTAGGTGAGTGAAAAAAAAAAAATGGTGACTTGTTTGGACTTGCTTGTTTAAACCGTCGTTTTTTGTTCCTTTTTTTTTTTTTCGAAACGACTCCCTACCTTGCGCGCGCTCACGTTTCTCGTAGATTTGCTTTTTTTTTTTATCCGCTCACGCGACGCCGTTCAAAAATAAACGGTGGCGGGCCATTCAGTGGTACTTGCATATAAAGGCCTCGTAAACGCAAGTCATAATCACTTTTCACCAATTTACTTCCAACCTTTTCTTTTGAACGCAAGTCATAATCACTTTAGATTATCCCTTACTGAGAGAATAGCTAAGAACATGAGCAAGTTTTACGAAGTCTCGAAAGTGCTCGATAAGCGTACAGACGCCCACGGTCGCGTTCAGTACCTCGTCCGCTGGCGTGGCTATGGAAAGAAGAACGATAGCTGGGTGGATGAAGCCGACACAAACGAGCGCCTTAAACAAGTGTTTAGGACACGCCACCAAGGAACTCCGGGCTTGCTGCAGACCTTAGCTGTGTTAGTGGCAGAAAAGCTGAACATGAAGAAACCGCCAACAACCAGCATCGTGAGACGTTCGTCTGTCACCATGCCGATGGATGCCGAGACCTTTAAAGAGTTGTTCGGTGGTCTTCCTTCCGCGCCAAATCTTTTGCAAGCGACAAAGTTTTCTGTGCCCATTCACGAGCTTGACGCCATAATGCCTGCCGGATGGTCACTAAATACTTTCAAAACCTCCACGACTTGTCGGTTGCAGCCCGGCAAGCCCGTCGAGATTGCTCTCGTAGAGCGCAAGAAAGTGTTTTTTGATCATTCGGGGTGTTTGCGCTGTCAAGGCGGGAATGGAGCCCCCGTCGCTTGTAAAGACGTGGTGCGGAAAGTAGTATTCGGTTCAACCCTTCTAAAGATCTCGTTCTACCGTGAGCGGAACAAGCAAGCCGAGCGAAAGCCCAAGGAGCGCACGAGACTAACCTGGGCGAAACCAAGATCAGTCGCCAAGTAGAAAACAGTGACTTACCGCTGGGTAGTCACTTCAACAAACGGCTCCTTTAGGAGCCACCAAATATAAGAAAGCAATGACCAACTCGAATGTGTGGTACTCTTTTATTTCCCTTATCTAGCCCTTTTTTGCATTCATTGTTTGCCTAAAAAAGATCTGTATTCAAGCCACTTCAATTTGAATCGAAAGTTCGCCTACGCCTCACTCTCAGATCGCGCTGATTCTGTGCATCCCTGTGTATCACTGAAATAACCTAAAATAACCTTTATTCAAGGAACTTTTTATCCATTCGCTCGTCTGAACTAGCCTCGCGTCTTGTTGAGATTGCTAATGAGCCTTAAACCTGCTAGCGTGTCCTGGAAATTGTCCCTTTTCATTTTTGCCCTAAAATTATGTAACACCGGAACGTGGTAATTTGACACCGATATCAGTAACTTCTTGTGTGGTGTCAGTGTCAAAAGCGTGGTCCGTTCATCGATCATGGAGAAAGCAGGGCACGAGGCATGGTAAGTGAGAAGTAAATGCACCCGTATTAAGTACTTCTGCCTGCGACTTATCTGAGTTTGTAAACACGAAAGTATTTCTTAGTCGATCAACACATCATAGTTCACAGTAAGAGCTTGTAAACCCGCCGGTGGTTTAGTGAAATGTCTAAATTTATTCTCGAGCTGACATTTCCTACTTAGCGGATTATACACAATTAAAAAAGTATTCAGTCAAGACTTTGAAGGGTCCGTTTAGTGACTGACTACAAAATACACCTCAAATAAGTATAACTTTGAGGGATGAAAATGTTTTAGTATAATAAATGTCATCGGTTTAAGAAGTTATGGAAATTTAACGCCGAAAAATAAAAACTTCCTAAGCGGGAGTTCCTACTGATACCACCATGGTCGAGCCAGAGGATAAGTAATTGCGGTGTAAAATGGCTAAACTTTTAAGTAGTGGGGGCATTACACAGCCTTTTCTGCTAGCCGTTGTTGAGCGTTGGCACAACCTGGTGCATTCTGATAGATCTCGCTCAATAGGCCATTCATCAACTGAAAAAAATAAACAGATTTACACATATAAATGCTGATAAAGACAAAATGTAAATGTGACTAAATTATTTGTGTGTGTTAAGAATATGACAGCTCTGTGATGACAAAGATTAATTACATATATAGAATACATGATTTTTAAAACAAATTTTCCCTACTTACTATCAAGGTTGTTAATTTGTTCCTTGCAACAATAGCACCAGATGCAGAAGAATTTGGAGCTGGCACCATTGAGACCATACACAAGGGCTAAAAATTTCCAGTCTGAGCAACAAAACCTGTAAAAAGAAATAAATTGTTTCATATAAAGTGAATATATTAAATTCATATATTTGAACTGTGGAATAACATTTTAAGCAAATGATAGGTCACTGCACTGTCATTGTACTCAACTTTTAAAAGCAGTTGAGAAAATAAAGCCTGAAAAAAGTTCAGGCTTGAATGGGGTTCAAATTTGCTTAAAAATTATTTAATGTAAAGAATTCAGCCATAAACATCCAGGCTTATGGAAAGATGATTATCACATCTTGTAACAAAATCAACACTCACCACTCAATATCAAAATGTTCCCCATCAATTGTGATTCCTGTTGTCTTGAGTTGATCAATTTCTTCAAACGTTTGTCCAAGACAAGCTTTTAATTCATCATAGTCCTCTTTACCTGTGGAATGATGGAGATGGTCAATTGACTGTGACAAGGAGCTCAGACTCATAAACATATTAATAATTTTTCTGATACTATTTACTCCTGGATAAATATAAGCTCAATATTTTGCATACAAGCCCTTTAAGGGCTAAAGAACAAAGTTTTAAATGGGACCAAAATTTTGTGAATGCAAACCTTGAGATTTTAGGCCCTCTACTTTTGGGAGAGGTGAGATTTTGACCAGCAAAAAACATTGTTTTCTCAAATATCCCTGAGTAGGTTTAGTAAAGATGAAAAATTTTTACAGTACTTGTTGGACCATGTTAACGCAGATGTAACCCTTTTAGTTTTGATTTAAAATGGCAAGTTTAGCATGAAAAATTATGAAGAAAGGAGCTTCTGTGTTTTTCTGCCCTTTTATGCTGCGGAATACCAGTTAAAAAAAAAAGTCACAGTTATTTTAAGACTTCACATACTGCCCAAAAAGGATGCTTGGAGCTTTCCATCTAATATGTACATGTAATATATCATTTTTCATTTTATTATAGTTTTATGAAAAACGAAACAGTGTAGACATTAAGATCTATGCACTTACCATTGTACAATGCCAGGGTATACTGGTATTCATACGTTGCTTTGTTCTCACACAAGATGTTAAAAACTGCCATCACGGTGCCGATTCTTTTGCTGGTTCGCCTCCCATCCGCCGCAAATCGGAGCTTAATTTTAGAACCATCTTTCTTGATGGCCTCTTTGACTTCGGGTATAGTGATTAAATATTCCAGAACATCGCAAACACTTCTACGGGCACCATCACCTTGCTTGGCCTGCATTAATTCAAAACCCCAAAAAAGTAACTAATAAGTATTTGACACAATCAGAAAAAATTGTTACAACATCATGAGAGACTAATCTCATACCCACCAAAGATTAAACATAGGCTTAGTTAAATATGGTTTAAAATTGTTTTCTTTGGCAAATGTGCTGACTGAATGTTTTTACTTTCAGCAAAGCTTTTTGCCCTCACTGAAAGTCAATGCTTGTTGCCATAGCACCTTTGACACACACAAATGATCAAAATAAAAAATCTTGGATTGTTGTTGATAAATCAGCGTGAATGCCGGGAACACAAACCCTTATGCATAAGAAATTATATGGCTTCCGCTTGTCATCCTGTTAAACTTACTGTGGGGAGCCACCTCCATCGTACTTTAAAAAGCTATAACTGCCTCGAGTGTAATATAAGTTTACCAACAAAATAATTTACCTCTGGAATTGGAATTACTTCGATTTCCTTATTTTGTGTCCTCCTTCCCTGCAATATTGTTGACAGTGGCGGGACGTGACTTCGGACACTTTCGGGGAGCGCCATCCTCAGTTCATGGTAGGCTTTATCGCTCACAAGCCCCTCATCCTTCGCCGCCAAAATCCTTTGGACAACCTCGTGAGAGTAATCCTCGTCTTCGTGGTCATGTTGGCCGTCGGAAAGTGGGATCACCAGTTTCCCGGTCGCTTACGTCAAATTTAATCTGTGCGAAAAAAGAACAGAACATCTAAATGCGAAGCCTGTTTGTACAGACGTCTCTAATTTTTTTGGTTCCTGGGTTGCAGGGTTGGAAGAAAACGGAGACGTCTTCGCGCTGGAATAAGTTTACGTTATATAATCAACACAAAAATCACAAAATAAATGAAATTATTAAGTTTAAACAAGCAGTATCTTAGGTCCTCAAGAAGAAATAAGTGGTGGCGAGCAGGAATCCAAGTGTTTTTACCGAAGTTTTTAACCATCCAGTTAGAAATATACAGCGCCGTTTTGTTGTCAGTACGTGTACCGAGATGCCGCCGTGTTTTCAGCGGTTTCTTCTAAAAGTCATACCGTGGGCACACTACATACGTCACGTCCAAAAATTTTTTTGCGATGAGCAAAAAAAAAAAAATGAGCAATTCAAGGCTTGGATTACAGCTAAAATAAATTTTGCCTTAAAATAACCAGAAGTCGGTATCTATTTGCAGTAAGCCCTGGTAAGTCCCTAAAGGTACTTAGCACCTGCCTACACTATGCATGTTCAATGAAGAGTTTACATTTCAGAAAAATAAAAAGTAAATTTTTCGACTGGCTTATAATATTTCAGCGCTATCACACAGATTGCTTATGACACTGAATAAACATTGTTAATGAAAAGATTTATCATCCGTTCTCGTTGAGCCATTAGACGCATGAGGTCTTAATAAAAAGATTGACCAATGTGAAAACTGGGGGTGACGAATGGTGAATGCAACGTTTTTCTCTTAGATCGAGACTGTTTTCAACCTTTGATTTGCGATTTTGTCCTCAGCATGATCATGTAAGCTTAAAGATATGAGACTGCGAGACGTTCAGAACCGCCGAAAAAAATACATTGCGAGACCCGCAAAATTTGACCAAATTTTTGCGAGACCTTCAAAGACCATTCACCACCCCTAAAAACTTAGTGATAAAGAAAAATTCGTAATGATACGTACCTCAATCGGTTTGAATTCCGCTGGTAAAATCTCTGTGGCATTTCGGAGGTACTCTCTGATTTTTTTCCTCTTCATAGACCGCGAAGACGTTCTTTACAGGGTCCACTGCTAGGCGACTTTGGGCAAGCTCATTTCTTAGAAGCTGGAGTTCCTGGCGAAGCTGAAAAACTTCTGCCCTTCTTTCTGCCAATTCCGTCGCCTGGTCACTGACGATTTCGTGCAAATGGCGAATGCGTTGGTCGTACGCCTCAAGAAGGGGCAAAGAGAGGACAGACTGCTCTATATCGAAATGCCTTGGGCCACGTTTGTAGAGGACGTTTGCTTGCAGCTTGTCTACTTTGAACTTCGAAAACATTTTAAGACTTTAAACAACTTTAAACCGATCTTTTCCGATGACTATTTTCAGATAACTCTTTTCCAATGACGAGAGCGAAATGATTGTTGTCAATTGCAAGTGGCACGCGCATCAGTTTTAAAACCCGTCATTAGCATAATAAGGGCATTCATGAAAACAAGAGAACAATTGATGTCAACTGAGCGCGAATTTCAAAGACGCTTTCAAAGATGTTTCGGGACGGAAACAAAGTTTGTTTAATTGTATACATAGGCAATTCGCACAGTGATTCCCACAACAATCTGAATAAAAGTCTATATTAGAACCTTTCAAGGCTGCCCAGCCGCTTCTTCAAGCAAGCGCGCTTCTTCACGGAAAGAAAAAAAGTCATCAATTAATGGTTTGTTGACGATCAAATTCGCGACAAAGCCCATAAGACAATACACAATACTATGAAAGCGTTTAAAAAGCTTTGAATACTTTCAAGGTCTTGATGCACTGAAAGGGGTTTTATTATGACAATAAACCGCTCTAACAGTAGATATTTCAAATATAATTGGTTATGACGCTTTTTAATTCTTCGCTTGAGACAGACAGCTTTCTCGCAACTTGTTTGGCGCGCATTACAACAGGCCAGCAAAAATACTTAAAAATAATTGTACCTTCGCTTCAGTTTCGATTTCTTTTACGATAGTTGTGTGGCATATTCCATTCGTATTTTAAGATACAAACTGTCGTCCTTTCTCTACCTCGAAATTCTGCGTTTATTTGCAGGAAAAAGGAGAGAACTTTACACAGCCGACAGCCCGCTCTCCATGTAACAAATTTACCCTTCCGTCCCCCGGCAAGTTTGCCGTTGCTCTAGACAACTTCTCCCTAAGCCCACCCCGAGAAAGAAAGATTTTGTCACATTCAGGTCATTAACGAAGTTTTTGAATAGACGGTTAAGAATATATGAAAGTCATATATTTGAACTGCGGATAAAGACGTGAATGAAAGTGATCCCGTACAGGCCTGATCCCGTACAGGCCTGAATTTTTTTCAGGCCTTATTTTCACTACTGCCTTAGTAGTGCATATCACTGCGAGGATCACTTTCATTCACAAGTTTTTGAATCTCGCGCTCTGAAATCGGATACGCGTCGGTTCTTTCAAACCTTTGTTCTTATAACAAAAGAGCCTCAAAGCTGTCAACAATGACAATGCCCATAAATGAATAAAAAAATCGTGCCATTGCTAGCAAAATCCCAACCCAAAGTTTATTTTCAGTGGTGTAGCACCAGGGAGATGAAAGATTTAAGCTATCCCAGGTGCCCTCAGAGTTAGTAACTAACTCTTGAAATCCATATTACAATCCATTTTTGCTCTTTAGTCTGTAGATATTATTGTCGGAGACTTTGATTCGTGCGTGACACATGTCAGATGATGAGTGCGAACATTATGGACATTGAATGGTTTACATAATCAACGCAACCTTGAATGACCTTTTTAAAATCAGTACTCGGCAACAACCAATCACAATGTAGAAAATATCGTATAAGAGAGTGATTTCTTACAAATTTTGCAGAGTAGCTTTTTACACACCCGATGTAAATAAGCGAATACGAGAGCGGAATAAAACAGTTTAATTGAGTATCGTTCGTTAGAATTCTATCCCTAGTAAACAGGACAAAGTTTACAAAACGTGGCACCTCCGGCAACGCGACAATTCTGAAGGATAACAGTTAGGACAAAATTGAGTGAGTATAATTTGCTTTCTAAATTTTTCTCGACGATATGGAGGCGACAGTGGAAACTTTGAACATCAAAGTTATGTAACTCAACATGACAGTGGCAAAGACGAACGCCGTTTTAGAGGCAGGGAAACCCGAACCAATTGAGAGGCAGCTTGCGACTCTTAAGGCCATCACAGCAGAAATTGATCGGATGCGACTCCACGTAGAAGCCAAAAAATTAGCGGCCGAAGAAGAGATCGCCGATATTCAAACGTGGAACGCCCACCTGGACGCGAAGGTGGAAGAAGCAGACAACGAAGTTGTGAAAGTACGTAAGTGGCTGGATGATCGGAAAAGGGAAGCAGAAGTGCTCGCTCAAGAAGAGAAACTGCAATTCGAAGAAAAACTTTATAAAACCAAGCTGGAATTGCAAATGGAGCTCCAAGCTACGCAGACTAGCCAACACCCGCTTCACACTAACACGTCAAGCGACATCCAAGCCAAGTCACCGAAACTAGTGATAACGAAGTTTGACGGCACCTTCATGGACTGGCCACGATTTTGGGGACAGTTTAGCGAGACTATCGACAAAACAAGCGTCGCGCCGATAACGAAATTCTCATACCTACGAGAACTGCTCGACTTCAAAGTAAAACGAACAATAGAAGCGTTACCCTTCACGTCAGAGGGATACAATCGCGCAAAGAGCATCTTAGTAGAAAAGTACGGTAAAGAGTCTGAGATCGTGAAGGCATACACTAGAGAAAATTTGGACATTCCTTCAGTACAAAACGCGAATCCAAAGAAAATCAGCGAATTCAGCGAGAAATTAACATATTGCGTGCAGGCCTTGCAGACGCTTAAGAAACTCGAGCAAGTCAATGGGGCGGTGTCCATGACGCTAGACAAATTGCCAGCCATCCGCGGAGACCTCGTTCGAACAGATCCAGATTGGGAGAGCTGGGATTTCGCTAGTCTTTCCGAAGCAATTCGACTGTGGGTGAGACGGAACCCGGCGGAAACAACACGAACTGAGCGCGAACAAGAGCAATCAGCCAAAAGATTTACACGCCCAACCAAAATGTATCATGCGCGTCGAGAACTCCCTGGACCTCGTGGTTGTGTATACTGCGGCGAAGATCACAGACCTGTGGAATGCACAAAGATTAAGGGCCTGTCAGATCGCAGACAAATTTTACTAAATAAGCGTTTATGTTTCAATTGTGTGTCTGGGAACCACCGCGCGTTCTATTGTCCGAGCAAATCAGCCTGTCAACGCTGCCATAAGCGTCACCACACGTCGATTTGTGACACACCAAACCCGACAAGCCAAGTTAACCAGCCACCGGCACATGGAGTCGCTTTGACAACAAACCAAACTGGAGAGGGTCTGTTCCCAGTAGTCATCATAGAGGTCAACGGAATTAAATGCAGAGCGCTTATCGATTCTGGAGCTGGCAGTTCGTACGTGTCGGCAAAGCTGATCGAACTACTTCGCTTAAAGCCAACCGATGTCCAGACAAAAACGATCAATATGCTGATGTCCTCTAAGATTGCCAGACTCGAAGTCTACGATCTCGAACTAAGATCTGTCAACCATCAATTTTCGCTGTCAGTCAAAGCTACCAAAGTGAACAAGACAGAGTTGTTGTCTATTGAAAACCCTAATTATCGCACGCTAATTGAGAAGCACCCACACTTGAAAGGCGTAAATGTTTACGATGATGACACAAAAGCGTCTCTTCCGGTTCACGTGGTGCTTGGCAGTGGGGAGTACGCCAGAATTAAAACGGAAACAAAGCCAAGAATTGGACAAGAGAATGACCCTATAGCAGAACTCACCAAATTCGGATGGTTTCTGATGTCCCCTGGAAAGGAGTTTGACAAAAACACCATGCTTCTCACCCAGACAAGTCAAAGCAACTACGAAGATCTGTGCAGATTGGACGTCTTGGGATTGCGTGATATAGCAGATCATGACCAGTCGATGGTATTTGATGAGTTTAAGGAACGCCTAACGCGCTCGCCAGAAGGTTGGTACGAGACTACCCTCCCCTGGAAAGCTAACCACGCAGAACTGCCCTCAAACAAGGAAGGTAGCTTAAAACGACTCAAGAACCTCAGTAGAAAACTTCAACGCGAGGGACTGACGGCTCAATACGACGCGATAATTCAAGAACAGCTGGCAGAAGGCGTTATCGAAAAGGCACCCCCTGTTTCACAGCCACAGAAAGAGTTCTACATCCCTCACAAGAGCGTGATTCGCAAGTCCGCTGAAACTACAAAGATGCGGATCGTCTATGACGCCTCAGCCCGAGCGACACCCGATTCACCATCACTGAATGACTGTCTGTACCCAGGGCCTGCGCTGCAAAACAAACTATGGGACGTTCTAATTCAGCAGAGAGCCTACCCAGTTGTCCTAGCGGGAGACATTAAGAAAGCCTTCTTACAAATCCGGATTCACGAGAGTGAACGAGATGCCCTCCGTTTTCACTGGCAGACAGATTCGGACTCGGAAGTGCAGACATTCCGGTTCACGAGAGTACTCTTTGGGCTCGCCCCCTCACCCTTTCTACTAGGTGGGGTTCTTGAATGCCATCTCGATACCTGGGCGGAGAAATACCCGGAGGAGGTAGAGCGGCTACGCCGAAGTTTCTACGTAGACGACCTGTTGACAGGCGGTCAAGACGTACAGCAAGCAAAAGCACGAAAGGAGGTGACGCAAAAAATTATGAAGGACGCCACATTTGAGTTACACAAATGGCACTCAAATCATACACAGCTGGAAGATGACACCCAACCTGCACAAGGAGAGGAAGTTGCCCAGCCTACTTTACGTAAAAACAGCGCCCAAGCCACATCAAGCGAAGATCAGTCTTACGCAAAACAACAGTTACTAGTCAAGCCAAGTGAGTCAAAGCTATTGGGCGTAAAATGGGACAAATTCGAAGATACTATCGCCGTGCAGTTCCTAAGCGCGAGTAGTGCACCGACAAAACGTGAAGTACTGGCCAAACTAGCGAAAGTGTACGACCCCCTTGGCTTAGCGTCCCCCATTACACTGCAAGGGAAGCAAATCTACCGAGAAGCGTGCGACTGCAAAGTATCATGGGACGCACCTATCCCAGAGAATCTGAAAATACGCTGGCAAAGGTGGGAGCAGTCACTTCCGGCGGAAGTAACCACTCGAAGACCCTTAGCACCTTATCAACAACCAGTCATCTCCGCTGAGCTGCATGTGTTTGGGGATGCGTCAACTTATGGGGTTGGAGCAGTGGTGTATTCAGTCGTACGCCAAGAAGATGGAATCACTCAAACCCTGGTTGCAGCAAAAGCAAGATTAGCCAAGAGAGAACTAACCGTCCCCAGGTTGGAGTTAGTCAGCGCTCACATGGCTACCAATTTAGTCATCAACGTAAGAAACGCTCTAAAAGAACTACCCGAACCCATGATCTACGGTTGGCTGGACAGCACCGTCGCCCTCCACTGGATTGTAGGAAATGGTCAGTACCGACAGTTCGTCTCTAACCGCGTGCAAAAAATAAGACAATACCCACAGATCCAGTGGAGACACGTGCCCACTACCGATAGCCCAGCGGACCTGGCGAGTCGAGGAGGCCAGGTAACCAACGCAGAGCTTTGGTGGAATGGCCCAGCGTGGCTACGTAATCCTGAAATGCGGCCAGAGAACCCGGTTACCGTGAAATCCGAAACCTCAGAAGAAGAGGCAAAAGTCATCCGAGAAGTGCTAAGCCTAGCAAATGAGAAACCTGAACAAGAACGGAACGTGTTCGACGAACTCCTAGAACGCCATAATTTACGCCGAGCTCTTCGCATCCAAGCTTGGGTGCGACGGTTCACCACTCACAGGGTGCGCAAGGGACCTCTTACTAGCGAAGACATTCAAGAGACCAAGAACTGGTGGATAGAAAGAGTCCAGTCTTAAGATTTACAGAAACCACACTTTGAACAGACCAGGCAGAAACTCAACCTCGTTTCCAATGCAGATAGAATTCTCGAATGTCATGGAAGAATTCAAGGAAAATACCCAGTGTACCTGCCAGCAGACGCCGTCTTTACGAGGAAGCTTGTACAGAGGATTCATGTCGAAACCTTACATGGAGGTGTGGCCCTTACCATGGCAGTGATTCGTGAACAGTACTGGATCCCAACCCTGAGACAGCTAGTGAAGTCTGTGCGATCTGCTTGTTGGGGCTGTAAACGTTTCATAGCTTCACCCTTAACAGTACCACCCCCTGGACCACTGCCTACAGACCGTACAGATGGTGGAACAACCTTCGAGGTTATTGGCACGGATTTTGCTGGTCCTATCAAGTACAAACAACGCAAGAAGGGCGAGGAGAAAGCTTACTTGGTTATCTTCACGTGTAGCCTGTCCAGAGCCGTGCACCTAGAATTATTGTCTAGTCTAGAGACAAGCAATTTTATTACCTGTCTTAAACGCCTCATCGCTCGCCGCGGCAGACCGCGCGTTATCTACTCAGACAATGGAGGCACCTTTATCAAGGCTGCGAAATGGCTTCGCCAATTGCGAGGAGATGAGCGCCTCCAAAGTCTCCTTGAAGATTACGACATAACCTGGAAATTTAACTTAAGCCGGGCTCCTTGGTGGGGAGGACAATTCGAGCGGTTGATTGGAGTCGTAAAGTCCGCCATGTACAAAGTCATTGGGGGAGGTGTACTTACCTGGACTGAGCTGAGCGAGGTACTGCTCGACGTGGAAACACAAATCAATCGACGTCCATTAAGTTATGTAGAAGATGATGTCGAGCTACCAACACTTACACCGTCAACATTCCTGTTTCAGCGAACTAGTCAGCTGCCAGAAGAGAAAACAGGGAGGATCAAAGACCTGGACCTACGCAAACGCGCTAAATACCTCAGGAACTGCAAGAAAAATCTCTGGAGGCGGTGGCAGAGAGAATATTTAACAGCTTTAAGGGAGCGGCACAACCTGACACACAAAGCGGCCAAATTTCAGCCAAATGTTGGAGATGTTGTAATTATAAAGACCGAAAACAAGAATCGTGGGAGTTGGCCACTGGCGATAGTAAACAAAACCTATCCCGGGAAGGACGGAATCATCCGCGCAGTTCAACTCAAGACAGCAAACGGACTGTTAGAGAGGCCTGTTCAACACCTGTACCCTCTTGAGCTAAACTGCGACCAGGCTTGTGAGACACATGCAGACACTCCCACAGCAGATTTGAACCCAAACGCACTAGTTTTCAGGCCCAGACGGGATGCTGCAGTTGCTGCCAGAGCCCGAATCCAGGACCTTGCTGAAGATGAACAATGAATCACAATTTCCTTTTCACTGAACTTCAAAATTGTGAACTTAATTGAAACGTTTGATTTATAGAGAACTTTTTCGTTTAGTTGAATTCGTTAAGTCTCCTAGGTGAATACACCCTTACACGCAATGTTGCATGGGGGAGTGTGTCGGAGACTTTCATTCGTGCGTGACACATGTCAGATGATGAGTGCGAACATTATGGACATTGAATGGTTTACATAATCAACGCAACCTTGAATGACCTTTTTAAAATCAGTACTCGGCAACAACCAATCACAATGTAGAAAATATCGTATAAGAGAGTGATTTCTTACAAATTTTGCAGAGTAGCTTTTTACACACCCGATGTAAATAAGCGAATACGAGAGCGGAATAAAACAGTTTAATTGAGTACCGTTCGTTAGAATTCTATCCCTAGTAAACAGGACAAAGTTTACAAAAATTATTTAGTATATCGCCTCCTCTTTTAACTGACCCTGCGATTATTGTGTGTCCACGTTTAAAACGTTTTGAGTTGCATTGAGTATTTGTATTTGCGGGTGAGTGCTAAAGAACAAAAATAATAGGAAGGCGAAAGCAAATATCGAAAATACACCAACAGAGCTTGTCAAATTGATATTAAAATCAGGTGATAAAAGTGTATTGACACAGCTTTACTTGAACTATTGCCTTAATTAGTTTTATAATCATTTTTGCTGTAAGTTGAGTTCCTCCTTCTTGCATTTGAAAATAATTCAGAACCCTTGCCTTTATCTTTAGAAGTTTAGTTGCCATAGTAAAATGTTTACATATGATTGTCAACTCGACGAGCTTTCTGTGCAAGATACTGCAGCAGGAGCACAGGCGGCCCAAGCTCCAGCTGTGAGATGATTATCTTGCGCAATAACAGTCATGGCGGAGTTATAAGAGTTTGTATGGGAATATTTACGACCGTTTTAAGGAATAAAAAAATACGTCAAATCCTCAATAAAAATACCGCACCTTACTTCCACGGTGTATCGCTTGCTATCTGACCGCTTACTTTGATGAAAAGAGCCCATTTTAGCGAGTTGTTTATTTCGAGGTTTTCAACGTACATAAGAAAAGCCCTGGGCTTAAAGCGGTCGTAAATATTCCCATACAAGCTCTTATAATTCCGCTATGACTGTTATTGCGCAAGATGATCATCTCACAGCTGGAGCTTGGGCCGCCTGTGGCTCATGGTAACCAGGCATAGCTTTCGTGAATGTGTTTCCCACGATCTTCTGAACTAAAATTCTTTGTTTGCGCTCTTAACTGACAAAAAGGCATTCTGATTCTTCCCAATGGGCGCTGTCATGCAAATCGTTCCTTCCACTGGATCGATTAGGCCGGAAAATCCGTCGAATATTAGGCTGGATAATCCCTCGAAAAGTTAAAGGTTCAGTAATCTCTCCAAAGGGCTGAATAATCCCTCGAAAGGGCTTGATAATCCCTCGAAAGGGCTTGACAATCTCTCGAAAGTGATGAATAATCCCTCGAAAGGGCTCAATTATCCCCATTTTAAGGGGATTGTTTGCTAACTGATCGTGGATCATCGAAGTCACAAGCGTCTCCAAAAGTGCTTTCGCATTGTTCGCTGCCTACAGAGCCGATCAAGTCGTGACTTCTCCGCCATTTAAGATCGTCAAATGATATAGATGGCTCGATTGGAGACACTTTACCAACAGTGCACCCGGTAAAGATGGATACTTGCCAAAAAAACTCGACGCCACTACATTCAACGAAGACAGGGCGCCGCTTTCATATGCTAATCTACACGTCGATTTCGCCGTAATATTTCGGGCATAAACTCTTTGAAGGGATTGACAACAGCTAACAAATACTTCGCAAAAACACATCCAGTTAAAGCTATGCCTGCTTGAGTAACGTACGTCGTAGAAAATCACCTTACATAATGCTCTACTCACCCAAACGAAGTCAGCTAATCCTCGATCCAAAGACAACCCATCCTCGATCAAAAGACAACTCTCAACTTTACGAACGTTGACAGGTTTCAAGAACCGGAAGGCTACCGACAAATCAATCGTACCTGTTATCGTCTCGATCAAAAGAGATCTGCGCATGCTCGGCATTAATTAACTCCGAAAATTCTTTTTTCACTCGTTTTTGGTTAACGGACAGACACGATGGCAAGGAATCTACGCGCCTGCGGCCGTGGATTCATAAAAAGAAAAGCATGAATTACGCCTAAATTGTGTGACCTTATCCCTCTACAGTCTAGCATCAGTATGCAGATTCTCCGTACTGTTCTCTATACATTCCGTAAGGTGCTGACAAGGAGAATTTGTTTAACAATCAAGAGATTCTTCAATTGGTGTTCATTTTATTCATTCCAATGACCTTAACCATTCAACTCCCAAGATCTGATTGTTAATTCTCCCCTCTAGCTGCTACACATTTCCTAGTATATTAGTTGCAAGAATTTGATGCTAGATCAAGATAAAAACTTAACCCTGATAAGTTTGAGTATTCTCATCATTGCTTTACTTGATAATGTATGGATATTAAAGGGAGAAGTTATATTTCAATACTTCTGGGAGTTAACGGGTCAATGTGTGACTCAGGGGTGATATCATATGGAGAAAGTACATCCTGGTCACTCTTAGGGTTGTAATTAAAAATATTTTTGCATACTTATTCTTTCCACTGTGTTCTTCAGAGGTGTTTGCTTGTCTCCTCCAATAAATCCACAACAATTTGGTGCTTCACAATGGCAAATCTGAGCAACTTTCCTGATTAATGACAAATATTATAACTATGAATTTTTTGTAAGCTTCTCCTTCCCAGTTCAAAGGGATCTTCTTTCTGTATGACTGCTGTACAGTTCCTCAAATTTTAAAATCTCTCAGTTTAGTGTCACTTACAAACATGAAGCTTTGACAGTAGAATGTACATTGTCCACCTACCCAAAACACTGCAGTTTATAATCGAACGTGAGCTCTGCACCAGCTGGGATGGGTCTCTGAGTAAAAAATCCAATCCTCAACAAGCAATGGACAGTCCACTGCAAGAAGCAAAAGAACAAAACCCATTCAGTTCCGATCTTAACCCTTTACACCAGAACATCAGTATGCACTCTCTCCATACTGTTCTTTATACAACTCCTAAGGAGCTGACAAGGAGCATTTGTTAAGCAATCAAGAGCTTCTTAAGTTACTGATCATGTCCTTAATTCTCATGACCAACAGGTTTGATTCAGGGGTAATATTATGAGGAGAAATTGGATGCTAGTCACTCTTGAGGGTTAAAGGATTTAAGTACAGCTGTGGATGTGTTTTCTTTCAGTTTCCTGTCAATCAATCTACTGTCGATTACTTCTGGAAAAAGAAGTGAAAAACCGGCATTATTGATCATAATATAAACTGGTAAAATGGACTGAACAATTTATTAAACTACCTTTTGAGTTTCACAGTTTGAGTCACAGCTGTGGTTGATAAATCAAGACAAGTTCCCCTTGTAGGTGGCATCAATTAGCTGAACAAAGAAGGAATTTTAAAGAAGCTATAACTCATTAAGTAACAAAACCATGAACTATAATGATTTGTCCACCTACATGTACTGTATTATGTATAATATTTAAAAAGATGGGCGCTTATTGGAAGGAGGGCTCTGAATTGAGGGGGGTGCTTATCACCTTCCCATACTGATTGCCCTATGGTGGAGGCAATAGAAACAGGTTTTCCTTGTGTCCCTTTTATTTAGGAAAGTGAGGAAGGAGGGGGGAGATGCTTCTTTTGAGATGGATGCTTAAGGCCTGAGGGATGCACTTATTTGGGAGAGGGTGCTTATCAGAGCTTGGGCTCTAATGCAAGGAATAAGTGTATATCAAAATTTCATTCCCCACAATGGATGATTTCAACATCATTTACTCAGGCTCAATGCTAGATGTAAGTCATATATAAATCTAGTAAACAACTTGGCTGGCTATGGAGTTCCTCATAGCTCAGTTGATAAAGAATTTGAAAATGATAACAGGCTGGAGATCATAACATTAAACTGACTGAAGTACATGCCATTTAAATATGTTTTTTGTCCACATAGTTGACAATTGAATAACAGTTAACCCTTTAACTCCCAAGATCTGATTGTTAATTCTCCCCTCTAGCTGCTACACATCTCCTTGTAAATTGGTTATGAGAACTTGGTGCTAGATCAAGATAGCAGCTTCTCCATGATAAGTTTGAATATTCTCATTATCTGTTTGCTGAATAATGTATGGATATTATTGGGAGAAGTTTCTTGTCAATCACTTCTGGGAGTTAAAGGGTTAAGCAGGATTTTAGATACGAATCACAGAAGGCCGCAAGGAGGAGGGACTAAGGAGAGAAGGGATACCTCCTGACAAATGCACAACCAAATGAAGGGGTCTAGGGGCACACCAACCCTCCTCCCACCCCTCCCTCCATAAAAATGCTAAAACTTGGGTCTCAGAGAATGTATTTTGTGCACTTTGAAGTAATAATCAGGTCATTTCAGTGAAACCAATCATTGTTATTTAATTCAGCAAAAGGAGCAAAATCATATGAAGTGGCCTACTAGGTTAACAGACCACCAGCCCTTCTTGAAAATCCTGCTCACTTTTACTAAGATGTCATTACTATACAGTATAGTGATCTGCTGATCAATTCTGGGTTTGGAAAGCCTTAAAATGACCAAAGAATTTACCAGCACTCATCACAGCAGTGCTGTTATTGTCTCTACTTAGGAAAAGGTTAAGATTTCCACTCCTTACCTCATCAGCTCTCAATGTCATGAAGTAGTAGTGTCTTCTGTTTTCTCCATCATAACACTCTGCTCTTTCCTGGAAATCTTTGTAGTTCATGACTTCTCCACAGTACTCCATACCACACTGATTCCTAGACAACAGTTACAATTTTTAATTCTGTGACAAAAGTATTGTTTTTTGCTATACTCTGCTCTGTGATTGGTCCAAAAAAAAAAAGGATGGTGAAAACACAAAATTACAGACCTGCAAAATTGAGTAACAATAAAGCATTTCTTTCCTGAAGATATAAGTAAAAATATAAACTTACAATTCCAGATCTTCAAGAGTTCTCAATTCCCAGCCTTTCTTCTCTGTTTTAAACACTTCAACTTTCACTTTACAGCCCTGCAAAAAGTGTTGTACATGTACGTAAATTTGAAATCCTCTCATGGCTGATATCAGCATATAAGTATCATCTCTCATGAAAGCATATTTAACTCCCAGAAGTGATTAAGATGTAACTTCCCCCTATAATATCCATATATCATCCAGCAAAAGGTAAAGAGAATACTCAAACTTATCAGGTAGAATTTGTTAAATTGATCGCACACCAAATTCTCATCACTACTTTAAAATGAAATGTGTAGCAGCTAGAGGAGAGAATGAACAATCAGATCTTGGGAGTTAAAGGGTTAAAATACCCATTATCTTTGTTAAAGAGGCAGTTGCTTCAACAGCTAACCCTTACCATCTCAGTAACATCAATCTTAATCCTGTAATGATAGTTTCACTAACCTGTTGAAAACGTTTATTGCTACACATCTCTCTGCAAGCACTTCTGCTGTTACTATTTGGAGATCAATAAAAGACAATGTGAGAAGGAAGACTTTTGGCAAAATTAACCAACAAGAGAGGAAAAGAATACCAACCATTCTATCATCAACAATCTGTTCAGACAGTCCTTGCCACAACCACTAGAACATGGATCATCTGTTAAAAAACATTGCAATATGTTCAACAGTAAAAAATTGGATCAATGTCAGTATCTGATCAACAGAGCACCTACCCCTCCCCTAACCCAACATTAATCCTAACTTGTTATCAATTGACTGTGGTTGAATTAGGGGAGGAGTAGGTACACGTGCATTTGTTCAGTTACTAACATTGATCCAGGAGACCACAGATGATGTTGAAATGTGGTAAGAACAAAAAAAGTGACACACAAAGCACAGCTGAGTGTGTCACTGATGTTTGTACCTCAATGTAAACATGGAATCTATATATCATTAAAAGGCAAAGGGTAGGTCACGCTCAGCTTATCTCATAAAATGAGGTAAGTTCATGTGTTCTAAATTGCCCATAACCATATTCAGCATATGGTGAAGTCTATGCATCAAAGCCGTTACCTTACCAGGATCTAAGGTACAATCGCACTGCATTCTGTGCACTTCCTTGTTGACTTTCTTCTTTCTGAAACATGAAATGAAAAACATGTAAGCTCAGTAACAGCAACAAGTTGTTTGAAAGGTAGAAAACTCAACTATTTTGCACTATGAAATAATTAAACACTGCTAATAGCAATTAAACATAAAACCCACCCATCAAATAAGTACTCATTCTCTTCAATATGCTTACAGTAAGGTGGTTGACATTCTTCAGCTGAAGAAATGACATGCTCCCCAGACACCTGGAAAAGTAACAGCATTCATAGGTATTTTCAGGTACTTTTAATGTTAAAAGTGGAAAATTTCAGGAAGATCCATGGACTTCAAGACATACTGTAACTATCTAGTGCTTCACACACCAAGTGGAGTGACAGATAAACAGTTAGGCAGTTAGGCAGCAAATATATACACTGTTCACAAAGTTAGGTGACCACCAGAAAAAAAAGATTGCAGTGAGAACAACAATAATAAGACATAGTCAAGTGATTTTACATTGATCAATTTAAGAGCCGTTTTCTCCCACAGAGTTTCCAGTGAAACTATTATCTACCTCAACTCTGAATGAGTTGTAGGCTTATCCATAGAAAACAAAGAAAACAAAAGAAGTGGGCTGTCCGAAAAGACCTACTGGGTATTTCAGGTTTATACAAATTTTTTACAATTCCAAGTTAAAATTTCCCTTTCTTGTGCCTTTCAGTTATACTGATTTATATGCACAAGATGTGTAGCTTGAGTTTGCTAAAACTTAAGGTTAACTGATTTTGTTGTTATCGAAGTACTCCACTGTGTAGGTGAATCTTGGATACATAACAAATTGTTGAGTTGGCTTGTTATGATGCACTTATGATGACTTAAATTGTAGTGAAGATTCCAACTCAGATCTGTATGAATCAGTGGAAGACATCACACATTGTCTACCTTTTAAAGTTATAGGAACTTGCTATTCTGAAAAATTCCAGAAAGCATTACAGGATACCTATGAGTATCACTATGAAAACCATAAACACATCTTTGCTAATCTTAAGGATGAACCTGACAAACCGTACATATAACAAAAATGCAATTAGAGTATATATAATGTCTTCCTCAGACTATGAGAAACTTACTGAATTAACAAGATTTGTATATCCCCTACTAAAGGATCCAAAACTGGAGGTGACAGTGAAGCAAATCAGGTTTTGTACCACATTTGTTGTGAATAGTTTTTACTTAACAATTGAAATTTCCACAACTGGTCTTTGGGAGAAGCCATGCAGAGATTAAAGCCAGCCACAGAGTAAAGTGATAGGAATTAAATGTTCACAAAGAGTGAATCCTGCAAAATGGCAAAATTAAGGAGTTCTATTTAATTTCTGCAAGTAATTTCAACGAGAGAAATATCTGTTTCATGTAAAATTTCACTTGCATCACAAGCATAGCACTGTCTGGTCTGGGACTGACTTTTCAGAGACATTTGTGCAATACAAACCATTTCATAGCACTAAACATGGAATAACCTTCCGGCCCTCTTATTGCCCTGATTTGTTATGGCCTTGGCTATATAAATACACCGCTGCACAACTAAGATATTTCTGACAAAGTTGAAGTTAATAAAAATATTGATGAATCTAGTAAGTATCACAAAGTGATGTATAACCACAGGCGGCCCATGCTCCAGCTGTGAGATGATCATCTTACGAAATAAAAGTTATGGTGAAATTACAAGAGTTTGTATGGGAATATTTACGACCGCTGTTAGGAATAAAAAGTACGGTCAAATTCTCAATAAAAATACCTCACCTTACTTCCACAGTGTATCACTTGCTGTCTGACCACTTACTATGTTGAAAAGAACCCATTTTTGCGAGTTATCCATTTCTAGGTTTATTACGTACATAAGAAAAGCCCAAGGCTGCACACTCCATTTCCGAACGCCCGATCCGAGAAGCCAAAAATACGAGCTCAAAATGACCAGGCGGCCACAAGTCTAACGCAGAATCCAAGCACATATACTGTAGTTTCATTTCAATTCACTTCAAACTTAATCGCACTTTGCTTCAATAATTTCCAGTTTAGCCGCGTATACATTCACCTTTACCACGACCATTAAAAACCAGCTTGGTAACCCTTCCTCCTTTTAAAACTGAGCCTCGCCGGGGATCACACTGTAACTTGACATACGGGGGGCGCCATATTGACACCCTTGGTTCTAGGACAATTTCTTCATGCCAAGCGACGACTAGATTTCTGAGCCAAAGACGATGTTATCGCTGCTTTATTTACACGTGAGAAATAGTATTCAGGATAAGTACACGATTGAATTACGTGACAGAGTCACTGGTCACGGTGTATTTCAGTGTGTGCTGTTATCGTCAGTTGTACTAAATAAATTCTGCAGTTTGGTGCTGAAACGTTTATACAGTTTTGAGTAGCGCATGCTGTCAGAACTCAAATATGAAATAAAAGAATCCAAATTATTAAAAAAGAGTTTACCACTTAAATGTTGACAGAGCGCTAATCAAATTATGATATTCGATACGTTGTTGTTGACGTCATCGTCACGAGATAGTAAAATTTGTCAAATTTTGGCCTTTTAGAATGTTTAGAGTATCAATCGGTGTGGTCTAAAGGTTCTTTCCTACTATCTTTTAAACTTAAAATGGTTTAAATCTAAGATTTATTAAGCTGCTTATATAAAACGGTCGGAGTTTGCTCAATGAACTAATTTGCATAATCGGCTGTCACGCTAGCAAAATTGCTGTTCATGTTGGATAGTTCCTCACAGTTTCCACGCCAAGGGAATTGTCGGTGAAAAGGCGCTCGGTACATACATTAGAGTAACGCTCCACAAATAAAAGATTGCCCTGCGCTTGGTCTGATAAAAATCCTATGCAAATCGGCCAACGACAAGCGGACAAAGTTAAAGGGTAATTGATAATACTTAAAGGACCTTTTCCACTGAAGCTTACGTTTGGCCGTTACGTTCAGCGGGCCTGGGGAAGAGAATGACTATGGAACCTACAGTCGAACAGGAACAGACAACCACATTTTATTGGCTGCTTGATATGACTGACGTATGGTGTGTGTTGGAAAAAACTTTAAGGACGAAAAGAGATGGTTAAAGTTATTTTCGAAACAGGGCACTGAAGGCTACAGATTGTGGTAAGTACTGTCTGTGAAAACACCTGATTCACTTCCATCATGATTAGAACATCGGTTTTTAAAACTGCTTCAAACCTCGTCCTGTTATGAATGATGTGATAAATGACCTGGCGGAAGAGAATTCTAACATGTGCGATAGAAATTGAAAGAAATTCCTAAACGTCAAAGTCGGTTAAACGTTTTTAACCCCACCTAGACCGACCAAACATTGACTAAATTCGACGAATGAACTGGTATTTTAACCGACACTGGACATGATGATTTCTTTCAAGCTACCTTCTCTGAAGATTAAATTCTGACATCCTCTGAGTTAGCCGAAGGGCCATCTACTAACGCACCAACCTAGCGCAGAATTCCAACCGTTATGTGAAAAATATGAATTCCGAATGTCCATTACAAAATCTTAAATGAAATTCATTTTGTTCTTTCCAATGAAGGAAAGATAAGGAGAGACGCGGAATATTTGTCATCCTTCTTTTGAAGCGCCATCTGATGAAAATATATTTCGGTTTTGTAAGTCTAACTTTTTTACCGATGACGGATGTGAGCATGCAAAAATGAAACAATTCACTTTTGTTGCAGGTAACATCCGGTCTCAGTATATATTGTTTTGCAAGAACCGTTGGATTTTTAACCCAAAATTACAAACAAGACTCGTTACAGTACTGAATTGGAGCTTCTGTCTTGAAACGGTAAGCTATTTGTGCTCGATGACTATCTCTTCACGAGCTGTTCATTTTCCAGTTACTGCGATCTGCGTCATCGAAGACTAAGTTGGTAAATAAGAGGAACGGCCGGGTTGATAAGTGTTGTACCCTTAAAAGACAACACAGTGCTATCTTCGTTTATCTCTTAAGGGTGTTAATCTAAATAAGACGGAAATATTGTAACAATCAAGCGATGTCATGATCGAGAGGATCTCGCTTGGCTTCATGTAAGAGATGATCAACAAATGATACCTCTTTTAGGGAGGGGAGGGAAAGGTGAATAATGAACCTGAACCACTCTTACAAAGAGGAATTTTCCTAAGAATGTACAACATCGGTCATCTATTTGAGTTTACACATTCTCTTTATTCGGGCAAGCGATTTAAACTTGAAAAGTAGTGCACCGGGCGATTAGCTGAATTATGAAAAGTTGAAAATTTTATTTCTCGTGATATTCTCGGGCCTTGTCGTATTGACCAAGTGATCGAAACAAAGTTGCTAGGTTTCCGTAGCTTGTTCAGTACTTTTCAAGAATTTGAAAATAATTTTCTAATTCTTGAAAAGCCTTTTACCTGAATAGGTTAAGTTTTTCCCACAGATTCTTTTCCTGAATCTCATCGGAACTTCCTTCAAAGAACGAGTGATTTTTCCTTCGGATGTCACGTACTCCTGACTACTCGGAATTTTCCGGAAGTTTCACTTTCCAATAGTAATGGATAATTGGGGTGGGCATATTTTTTTTAACGAGGAGAGGGATGGAAAGGAGTTCTATAGCAGCATCTAACAAGGATTCAGGAGCAAAACATGATGTTTCATTATTATTACTGCTGGGGGAGCTGAGTTACAAGCAACCGAAGATCCTTTTGGTTACCCTCCTGAGTAGTCTGAGTAGGTAAAGCTGTTGTTACCAATTTCTAATATCTTGAAGGAAAAATGAAAACTGTGATCAAAGACATTCAACACAAATAGTGAAAACATAAACTTATACACTCTCAGATAATATTTTGAGGAATTGGGGTTTTCTTTTCTAAAACGATCAGTTATGTACAGGCCGTTAACAGCAAATACAGCAGAACTGGAAACGATTTGAATTTGTTTCTACTGACTAAACGGAAGATTGCGCCAGCGACATCCTTAGTTTACGCGTGACGCTATAAAATCTACAATTAAAGATGTTACGGCATACAAGAGTAGTG